ATAAACGAGGCCTGTTTAGGCTCAATGCCTGAAGCATTGTTGAGTATCAGAGGAATGAAAGACGGCCCCTGTAAACAGATGAGGGGACACTAAGCAGAAACTTTTGTTCGTCACAGCTTTAAAATGAGTAGTTCCCACACATTCCTTTCATATTTTTCTTTTCAATCTCTCCTCTATGTTTACTATACCTGCGCATGAGTCTTCTTTCATGTTTTGTATCAAATTGTTCCCTGTGTGTATTTGGGAAGGAGTGCTTTTGTGTTTGTGTCTGCGTTTCTACGTACAGTAAATGTGTTTGAGCGCTTTTTGTGATGAGCATCGCTGAGTGGGGAATCGTGCTCCCTGTGCATGCAGAGATGGATTTTATTTTATTTTTTTAAATCAAATGCATTCTCTTGTGCATTATGCGATTTCCTTTTAGCGAGTCTGAAAAAAATCTTTCAAGAACAGAGTGGGATTAAGATTACTTCTTAAGAAGCTCAGCAATGGTGGATTGAAACTGATGCTTTTTTAAACAGCGGTGAATCATGATGAAAGCGTCTGTCAAAATCCCTCCCGGATCCTAAGAGGAACGGGAGGTGGATGGGTGGAGGTGCCACAACACAGTCTCTCTTTTCACAAAACAATCAGCTGATCACACTAAAACAACAGTCAGATGAGCAGAGGAGAGAGAAAAACAGAAAAACCTGGAAAACCAGGTTTGAACTTGTGAAGCCTTTTACAGCCTTTTCAAATTATGCGAGCATTTTTGTTTTCGTATTTCTGTGTTATTATAACACACTGCTCAACTGATGCAGCAGTTATCATGCTATACGAGTACAAAAAAAAGGCTGAAGAGTGAACAACAAAATGCATCGCCTCTCTCTTTGTACTTGAAGTCTTTATTTATCATCACCACCAAAATGACGAGTGCATTTTCATTTTTCTGATTCTCAACAAAGCCAGGCTGATCAACACAAAGCATTAACTCGGTGAGTCCGATCGTAATCTGTCTGCATTGAAGATTCAGCTTCCAAGCTAGTTTGGATTTCCGTCCCTCTACTTGCTTTGAAACGAAGCCTATGGGCATGAGAACTGTATTGTATATTGACTCAAACTGGGAGTGTCCAAACAGAAGCTTAAAACGCTTTCATTTCAATAGCATGAGGTTTGTTTGGGTGTGACCTGCAGCCCTTTAACAGTCTAAACCGCTGCATGACCATGGGTACAATCAGCAATATAATACAGATCATGGAAGTGAATAGAAGTATACTCAAAAAGGGCCATTTGTTAGTGCCTTCAACTACTAAATATGCTTTCAAAGACTGCCATCTAGAGGCCCTGTCTGATATCCAGTGTCCTCACACAGTTTACAGCTTAAACTCAGGCCTCAGTTTCAGTCCGGTTCCCCACTAGAGAGTCTAGGGTAAAACAACAAATAGATAAGCTAGAGTTGCACTGTTCTGCATGTTTGTTTTGTTTTTCAAAAAGTTCAGCGGGTCTTTTTTTTCCCGCTGTCCATAATTAGTTTGGCTGAGATGTGAGGGTCGGAGATCATGCTGTTCCTAGCAGGCTTTGGAAATTGTCTCGCCGCGTTACTTTGTTGTTTTGATCATTTCTCATTTTGCAGATGTGCATCATGTAACAATACAGATACCCTGATGGAGAACTCTCTACAGTTCTCTATATACTGTACACTTGAATTGTTATTTAAAAAAACTGATCTGCGACAAAGCTTCTTTCTCACTGCCTCAAAGACTGTAATACATATTGTTTTAAAACCTAATTCAATTCAAATTATTAAACCATCAAAACGTGTTGGCATTCAAGTTATCACCCACATAACCCCAAAGTACTTTGAGGGCACACATTAAGTCAAAGCATGTAAACTACAGGACGACAGCAGTGATCATCACATGTATGTCACGGGAATAGTGCTGTCCTTGTTGTTGCTTTTCACCCCCCAATGTTACTACTTCGAGCATCTGTCATCAGAATTATTTCTATGTTCGTTATGAATCACAACATGATTGTAGTGATGAACCCACACACACCTGACTCCGCGGTTACCCCTCAGGCTACAGAGCTCGATAACAAGGTTCAGCTCATCGATTCCACAGCCCAACCCCGCAACTTCACTGTTCTTTTCTTTCCCTCTCATGCTCGCATAGCGGCTCTTTCATCTGTTCTCATCGAAAAAGAAGCACTTAAATGCTGTTGTGTGCGAAATGCCCTTTCCTAAACAGTGGACAGACTTAGTGAGGGACTAGCTGGTGAATATAGCAAAGAGTCAGGCATTTCCCTCAAGAGTCAGTGGAGACATAAAAGAGAGTGAATAATGGATTTACGTTCATCAGGTGGTCAGAAACAAAATTCCCAATGGATGCTTATGTTATCTATAGTCGACTATGTGCTAACATGTTTGCCATATCATCGTAAAAAGTGACACTATGTCAGTGTTGTGTTCACAGCTCATTTCAGCTGCCTCCAACTTTAAATGATACACAATTAAATTACTTTTTAGAGACGTGCCTTAATGCTGAGTGTCTATAAAAAAACATGCTCAAGTCTTCAGGTGATGTGATCTTCTATTCAAGATATGGTGAATAAAAGCTGAGGTCAGCAACAACAACAACCAAGAGTAAACTAGATTTTTAAAGTAATCAACCAAAAGCCCAGCTCAGTGTTGCCAACTGTTTTCCAATGACAGAAGCATAGCAGCACTAGCTTCATTAGTCCCTCCCTTCAGGCCCCCCCTCCAAAGCCAATCCCCCAAAATGATCATAATCAACATAATACTTATTTTGCTGTTGGTATATTGTTCTTTGTTGTTACTGCAGCTCCTGGTCTTGTTTTTTTTTTTCGGGGATGTTGACCTTCACGGGTTTTTCCATCATCGTAAAAGAACAGAAGTGTATTTCTGCCTCTTGTCACTCACATTATCACAGCTGGCAGTGGAACACGGTTGTTCATGGCCTGTATTTCTTTGAGTTTATTCGAGCAGCTGATGTCAAACCTACTTGGTGTCATCCAGCTGTTGGGTCTGCTCTGACACGGCAGTGCCAGCTGTCTGGATCTCGCACAACAAAGTAATTACTCGTGTCACACTGAATGACTCGCATCGGTGGCTGCAATCTTTTCATTTTCATCACGTCTGGCAAAACTCCAGTCTGGAAGTGCTTCAATAAACTCGTCGTTTATTTTTATTTTAAATACATCTGTAAAAAAAAAAACGATATCAATAACTCGTCAATATTTGGCACAGACTCCAGGACGCTGACTTTCTCTGGCCACCTGTGGAGGTTGACCAGCTGTGATCATTGATGCTACTGATGAATGCGCCTTCATAAGAAGCAGTGAGGCTGACTCTGTCAGCCACTTCTTATTCCCACAGCCAAAGTCCCCGGCAACACCACCGAGTCTGCCAAAGGAGCCAGCGGTTGATGTACGGATGCCCTTACCTGCTGTCCTTCCAACCACTCTGGCAGATCTCTGGGCCATAACAGTCATCGGCTCCCTCTATGAGGAGACCCAGAGGCCCCGGCAAAGGCTTCAGAGCAGCTGCCACTGGAGACGCAGTGTGGGTGTGATCACCACTGCAGAGAGAGAAAAGTCTCTGATATCGTCTGTCTCGATTCTAGATATATACCGTATATACCTCTATACATGGGTGTGCCATATATATTTTCTAACATCTAAGCTGCCTATAGCTAACTTAACATTGCCACTGTGGCGTTGGAGGTTTGTTCGTGTTTTTTTTAGGCAGCACGACCACAAAGTAAAACTGAAACACTGTTTAGCTTCAGTTCTTCTTTTACTTTTTATTTTCCTTATCATCATTGTTAAATTATCAAGCTATAATGAAATAAGTGTATGACTGGTGCGTTTTCAATGTGCAATAACTTTTTACAATCGAACAAAATTTCTTTTGATTTAGATTTTTTATATTGTCTATGTCGTTGTCTCAATTGTTCTTTTTAGCTTATTTAAAATAGAACAACACTTAGCTTCATTAATTACACATGCAGCATTTGATATTTCATTTGGTGTCAATAAAAGTTCGACAATCTTCCTTATTTGTAAATCAAAACTATCTACTAACTAACTACTGTCAGTTTTTACATAACACAATATACTGTATATGTGTGGAGAACTCCAGACATGTTCCCTTGTCCAACAGCTCCAACCCCACAGCATCACGTCATCTCACTTCAGCGTCAGCACAGATCGTTGAAACTGAGGCCCACGGGAATGTGTTCAGATCAGCTGATTTATATGCAAGTTGAGGCATCCCGACATGTTGTGTGATTGTGCTGCGGCATTGCTGAGGGACAGGAGAATAACCTATTGGCCTCATGTACTCCCTTAAAGGAGTCCTATAGCATACTTCACAGTACTGTTGCTGCCCGGATCTACCCATTAAGTTTGTATTGTAAGCTTTTACAGTAACTGACATTATCTTTTTAGCTATTAGTCGTTCTATGTATATTGTTTTACACTCCTTAAAACTCCAGAACTTTTAGGTTTTGTTCAGAATCAAGGTCCAATAATAGTCGTCTTTACACACATCCTTGCGTACATTACAAACAGGAACTGCTGTTAGCTAATTCAGTATACTATTAATGCTGCCAGTTTTCCAAAATGTAAACAAATATCGGGTAAAACAAACGTTGAAGCCCAATCCTTTTCTGCAGACTAAACATTTACACATATCGGCTTACAGATGAGCTATTTGTCTGTACACAAAGATAAACAGCTGCGGATCAGCCGAGGTGATACCACTGTTGCTTTAAGAATGAAAAAGAAAAAAACTTTGAATTAACTTTGAATTAACATGCAACTTTTTTTTTTCTTAGAGATAACAGTCTTGTTGTTTAAGTGCTGCTACTGAGTCACAAAGCAGTCTGTCCCCATATCACACTAAACCACTAGAGGGCAGGGTTTCCTAACCGAACACAAACTCATGTACTGTATATTGACAGAGGGTATTCGACTGGCTTACTGAACACCCAAACACACTGTTTGTCGAAACATTTGATGTAATGTTTCTAATAGAATATGATGGATATTGTTTTCACAATCATATCTTGCATAAAGGCATCAGAAATGGTTTCTGGCCCGCTGTAACAGTAAGGAGCAACACAGCATTGGATGAGATCAGGGGGGGGGAGGATGACCCGACATCTAGAGAGGAAGAAGGTCACCGAACACACTTTCCCACCCAGCCCTGCCAGACGCACACACACACACACACACACACACAGACCCACCCTGCAGTGTTGTATGTGCCAGATGAGGGTGTGATACATGACTGCTGTCACTGCTTCCTTCACTACACCAGCACTTGTGCAGCATAACAACTGCACCACAGTGTACTGCTTGCTGAAGATACAGTGTAACACTACCTGAGGCACAAAGCAATGCCATCTGGACTGCACTCCAGGGAAAGTGGTGTTTAATCAAATACTGACAAAGGTTAAAGGGCACTTTAGCCAGAACGAAGCTGCAACACTGTCAATATGTTGTAGTGACGAACATGAGCTGAACTGAATACAATGGTGCTTCTTTCATGGTATGATTGGCTAAAACTGAATGAGAACCAGCTTTGATGGCTTTCATTCCTCCGACAGTCGGGATGAGTATATAGATTTAATTGTATAAAATGTAAAAAAGTATATCAAAATACATACAGTAAATGGTGTGAGAGCAGGCGGAATGTGTTCTCTCAGATGGTACAGTAAGTCCACTAAGTTCTCACAATGGCATAATTACAACACGTTATATAAATACACATTTTGATCCACATCTCAAAGCACTTGAAGGCGGCTTTATCGTCATTCAAGGCTGAACAGAACATAACCACATTTTCATGATTCAGGCGAAAGATAACACTTATATCTTCGTGTCGTTGCTCAGTGTTTGTCGCTTTATAGGCTGCACAGACGATTGTCCGTCCGTCTGTCCAAACTGGATGGCCGATGTTAAAGAAAATTTGCCTTTTGCATACGTGCTGTACATTGTCGAGTTAGTGGCTCAAAGCAGGGTTAAGTTTGAGTGGCTGCAAAAAATCAGTTGCATCAGGAGAGTTCAGGGGTTCACTAATAACAAACGACCTTCTCTTTGATCAACACGACTACTGTCCAACACAATGAGGAGAGTCAACACAGACACATTTTGACTTTCCTTTTGCAAGCGCCACAGCTTTTGTCAATATAACCCTGAAGACTGGGTTCTCCAGTAAAAATCAAGCTCTGTTTTCTGAATAGGGTGTGCAAAATGTGATGTGATCAATAGATACATGTTCAGATCTCACAGTCAATCAACGTAGATTTTGTCACAGTATGTCTCCGTTAGCGTCGGGGAGGTTGTTATTGACACAATCATTGTGATGCCACTGATTATGACATTCACTCTTGATTAGTGTCATCTCCTCTAAGGGGTTCCTCCGTGGCTCATATCTTAGATATCTCAGTACTCTGCAAGGTCACTGGTGGGATGAAAGCGCAGCTGCGGTGTATGCGTGAACAAGCTGTATAGCCCTCAGTTTGGGGAAAGGGAAAACGTGATATTCTTGATGATTCTGAGAAGAGCCGAGTTTCAGGATTGTCAGGAGCTGCCGTCCCCATTCTTGGTCTTGAGCACCACGAGGCTAACCATGACAGGGATCAAGCAGATGGGAGTTATCACCAGGGCAAAGACGATGACCGGTGGTGGGTCGCTTAGCTCCTCTGAGGGACAATCCTTGAAAAAGCTGGAGTGAATGTCCACAAAGGTCTGTTCCACCAGCGGGTTGGGCCATGGGATCCCTAGACAGTCCGATATCTCCTCTGTGCAAAGGCTTAGGTTACTATACAAACTGCAGTGTGGAGACAGGGAGTGTGCAGAGGAGGATTCAGACATCAGCAAATATTTAGCAATATTTTTCATGTTAAAACGAATTAACTGCAAATATAAACACACACACACACACACACTACTACTTACCCGCTCACATTGCCCCAAGTGCACCAGTTAGTGCTGTTCAGCGATTCCATTGCGGTATTAAAGTTGGGGAGACATAGATAGTCAAGCAGCATGGAAAGGCAATCCATTGTTGACGCACGATAAATATCATCACATATGCTGCAGTAGTGCGGACAACTCTGAGAATTATTCCCACAAGCTGTACGAGTTGAAGAGTTGAAGAGTTGAACAGAGAAAGAGAGATTGAGATTAGAAAATGACAATAAATATGTGCTGGACATTATCAAAAGATACCCATTCAATTCTGGGTTTACAGTATGACATAAGATTATATGACTATGTATTATGTTTTAAAGTTATGTCACCTACCAAATGACAAGGTAGAGTCTCCTTGAGTGGCATCTTAAACAGAGAAGAATAACATGTTTAGATTGAAAACTTTACATCAAGTAGTAAAGGCAGTTGACATAAACTCTCTTTAAATCTGTCATGCAAGGTCTTTCTAATTCAGTTCATTAAATAAGTTCATCAAAGACATACATCGTAGCAAATTCCAATGCAAAGAGTATTTCAGTCTGTTGTAGCTCATGAGTTGCTTCACGTGTCTAGTACTGAGGCAGGCATTTGCAGCTGTAGAAGGGAGACCACACACTCACCGCAGAGGAAGGAGAGGAATACCCCAATGAAACCAAGTGCTCCCTTCATGTCAGAAAAAAAATGAATAAAGGTGCGATTTCCCCAACCGGTGACCATGTATAATAAACCTAAACTTCTTAGACTGTGTACAGCGAGGCATAACAGGAAACCCGACAGGATGGAAGAGACGCAGTGTAACCTTCGGTTACCAGATGTCCAAACAGTGTTACCCGCAGTTACCAGATGTTCTCCGAAGATCTGTCTGACGGCCCCGCGCCTTGGCAGCCGCTCTTCCCCTCTCCAACATACGTTTCCCTAGGATTTTCTTCCCTTTTTTAACGGGGTGGAGGCAACAAAGATTGTCCTCTCCATTCTCCCAAATAAAAGGGAGCACACCCAAGCTGGGCTGGACTCACATCTGAAAACCCTTTACTCTTTAACTCTTGTTCTGCTTTTTAGTCTCAGTTTCTCACAGTCGAAAGGCCTGGCCAGCTCACAGCATGTGATTTATTTGCCTTTTGGGCTGCCTCTGCCAAATAGGAAACATAAGTAAACATTTAGGGCTTAGCTTTTTGGGGTGGATGTAATCATGACTCTGCAGGGTGTGCTGAGCAGACAGCGCATGATTTCATGTTTAGGTTAATTAATAAAGAAAGTAGTAGTTAATAGTCAGAGCTGACCAGCTGTTTAAAAAGGCCGGCTAACTGATATTTCCAAACACATGTGTTGGAAACTTTCGTTGTTTTTTTTTTTTTATGTCTGATGATTTTGCGACATCTGTAAAGTAGTTTCTCACTGTAACCGCTCACCACTTTAAAGAGTGCTGAGTAAGAGGTGGTTTCATCGATTGAATGAAAAATGGAATGTACAGTTGTTTTCTCACGACCAACTTGTTCATTTATGTCACTGAATCCACATGTTGGGCCTCTCACAACATCTGTTTGCCGAGCAGCATTTTGATTTAGTAATGACATCAGGAAATGTGTCTTTTCAGCAGAGGAGGAGCTCCGAGTTTGGGGGGGGGGGGTGGGCAGGGGAAGGAGGGGGGGACAGTTAGGGGAAAGAAAAAAAAAAAAAAGGAAGGCACAAGAGGAGGAACAGTGAAAGGGGCGCTGCTCCAAAGTTCCAGTTGTTTCACAACCCGGAGTTCATGCGTTGATCACAGACGTTGCATGGGGTGAATGACGAACAAATTCAGGAAGTTGAGCCAGGTGGGGTCTTTTCATAATGAGGTTTAAGTTAACCTTTTGACCCAAACCCACTGTGGGCCTCGTGTCTACTGCTGTTGACCCCTCACTGGTGGAGACCTCCTCGGGAGTTTGTCTTGGATTCTCATGATAGTACACACACGGGGAGTTCTTGGCAAAGAAACGGGATCGCTGTGCTCTGCTCTCTGTGTTGGTCAGTTCCAGGCCAAGCAAATGAGTTTAAGGAACTGATCCAAAACAATCCCCCAGTGCACACAAATATATAATCACTATTGTAACTTTAAAATATAGAGCATGTAAATAACTTTCATATATTTCTGCTAAATTATAAAAGCAAGATTACTTGACAGATATTTAGTTTACAGTCAATAATTAAGTGTAAAAGAAAAGAGATGTAATCTTACTGGCAAACGTCATCTCTGTTGAGTGATACCCTGTAGAAAAAGGAGGTGATGTTAGTCAAAGTATGCATGATCATGAAGCCTATATATTTTATTATTTTTAAATAAATACAGATACGGTACCTATCATTGTGGCCGGTTGCGCCGCTAACTCTTCATCAACCAGACAAACCACTGTTGTGCATCCTGCTATAAGAGAAATCAAATGTATTATTGGATTAAAGAAGTAAAGTAAAAAATACTTTTACACCTATTAAATTGAATTATGATGATAATCATGTGTATACAAATTCCAGTACTTGTGAAATTAGAGGAGGCAAAGGAAATAACAAGGAGTACGCTGCAAGGAGTGAAAAGGTCAATGCATCCTCCCTTTGTCTGCCACTCTTTTGAGGAAATCTTAATATATTCAACTCAAGGACATATACACTTACAATACATTGACCTCCCACAAGAATAAAATAGCTTGTTTAATGAATAGGAGCTAATAATAACGACAGCATGAATCATAAAATCAACTGTAATGATCTGGTGAAGATCCACTGTAACACAAATTCTTCTTTAAGAACAAATGTGTTGAGACAGCTTGGTCAAAAATCACTCGATGGCCCTTAAACCAAACTGTTCAAGTATAAAACTCAATCATGAGACTCGCTAAGCTCCTTTGTAAAAGCCACTCAATCATAGAAAGCCCCAAAAGCATTCCTCTTGAGAGGCGAGATAGAGGGCAAGTAAATAAGTTGTATCATTTAAGAGTAAAGACATCGACAGTATAAATCGTCGACTTACCCCAGATGAGAAGAGTCAAAAAACACCCAGAATTCATGAGTGGGAAACTAGCGGCTGTCATTTTGTCTGATAACGCTCTGTTCGTCTTCCCTGGTGGGTAGGGATTACATATCTCAACCTTTTTGCAGGAAGGCTCTATAAAACAACAGGAAGCCCTCATTTCCTAGGATGGGCGGATTCACACAATGGGACAGAGAGCCTCTGATAAGGTTAGAACTATGGTCCACTGGTGCACCACCATCACTCTCTCTCTCTCTCTTTATGTTTCTTTCTCTCATCCCACCCTCTGCTTCAAAACAGAAAGAGAGAAGTTAGGGAGAGCCCCACCCTCTCTTTTTCTCTCTCTCCCTCTCTCTGTATCTCTACCTTTGCCTTTGATTCATGCTTTTATCAATACAAGCAATATTTTGTTTTCAAGAATGGGTTCAGACACATGTGGACTAATAGCATGTGAGCAGTCTTGGAGCAAAAGGATTCATGCTGCAACTACTTATCGTCCCTGCTATATAGACGTTTCAACAGAAATGCATTGCTTGGGAATTGCTATAGTCCAATTTGACCTCCTGTCAGCTGATGTCATTCACTTACACCGCAACAGTAAATAAACTGAGGTACATTTGGAGTCTTTATGTTTACAACCCCTAGGGTTGTTTCTTGTAACCGATGCTGATGAAGCCAACAGAACTACATCGTCTGATCTGTTGGCTTCATCACACCGTGAACTTCAGCACACACTGGGGCGGTTTGAGATGAGAGTCAGTATACCTCCAAGTCTGAGGCCATGGTTCTCTGCCGGAAAATGGTGGATTGCTCCCTTTGGGTTGTGAGTGAGAATAAAGTGGAGTGGGAGATGGACAAGCGGTTTGGTGTGGTGTCAACAGTGCTGCGGCCGTTGTACCGGACCATTGCGGTGAAGAGGGACCCGAACCGGAATGCATCCTTGGGGTAGTGACTGAAAGAACGAGGTCTCGGATACAAGCGGCCAAAATGATCTTCCTTCGTAGGATGGCTTGGCTCAGCCTTAGAGATAGGGTGAGGAGCTCTGACATCCGGAGGGAGCTCAGAGTGAAGCAGCTGCTCCTTTGCGTCGAAAGGGGCCAATTGAGTTCTTTGGATCAGGATGCCTCGTGGATGCCTCTTTTTAGAGGTTTTCTGGGCATGTCCAACGGGTAAGAGGCCCCAGAACACACAGGAGGGTTTATATATCTCGTCTGGCCTGGGAACCCCTCAGGGTGGAGAGACGTACAATGTGTGGATAGAAGGATGAATGGGTGGATGTGCGTTTACAACTGCGTTTTGGTTTTTTTGCCAAAAATAGCAGTTAATGAAAGTAAAAAACAAATGGTGTATGACAATTTAAAAGAGTACTAAATCCAAACTGATGCAGCAGAACCAGAGATATCGTCTTTTTTTTGTTCCACACATTTTCTTCCCTGTCAAATTCTGGCACCTGAATTATCCACAATGCAACTCGACTGAAGAGAGTTCAGTAAGAGAGTCGGGGGTGTTATGCTAGTAGCGACTAACGTAGCTTTGAGTCGCTAGAGTCAAGCAGACTTGAAGAGTGGGAAGCAGGAAAGCTCACTTCCTTCTAACGCCACACGGACAGATTTTTAAACTTCAGCCCCAGCAATTGCTGACTCAAGTGACATCACTTGAGGCAACTGATTTTGCATGGCTCCATCTGGAGCAACAAAAAGCTTGATGTAACTTAATTCACATATGCAGTAATATGCAATAATATGCAGTAAAAGCATAAACATGCTTTTATGGGTTTGTGTTTCTGTTGCTGTAGAGCATGACCTTTACTGTCACTGCTGGTGAGTGAGGAATATGTGTTTTTTGTGTCTGTGCTGTGTTACAACATCTAATGATGAAGCAACCCCATCCCAGCACCTCTGGATCTGATGTCACGCTCAGCCTCTGTGGTAAAGAGAAGCAGCAGGGATCTCCAAAATGAAACTGTTGCACTCATGCACGTCACTGAAGGATGAGTGCTCTTTCTCAGCTGCTGGACTTGGGAGAGAGCCAACTAGCGCTGGGCCAAAATTGCTTCCACATTACATTTCAGAAAAAGGAGGCCACTCTTTTTTTGTATGTGACTGGAATTAAAAAATCCCCCAAACAGACAATTAGATTAATCTGCATCAAACTTTCTATGTAAAGTTGAAGTGTGAATTGCTGTGCCTACAAGGAGGAGCTTGACATGTTTCAAACATTCTGTCGGAGGAAAGCAGAATAAGTGAATGTTTAGTTGGAATGTCACTCTTCTATGAATAAATGCCTCGTATATACAGTACATGAATAGAATGTTTTAAATGACGGGGGTATTACAAGCTGCTTTGTAATTCTTTTCATCTCCAAGCCTCTGTCAAAGATCATAAAAGCTGCACCATGTTGAGTCCCACAATGACAGGCGCCAAGACCAACACACGCTGTTTACATGATACAGAATTAAAAACTTCCTGCTGATAGCAGCCATGCTCCCCAAACTTATCTTCCTGTGTGTGTTTGCTTTCGTTTGACAGGTCGGTATCAACATGGCGAGCTACTTCAAATACAACTGTAGACACGGCAAACAGGCCTTATCATATGAGAGACTTTTGCTCACTCAATGCATCATTACTAATCAGGAATGCATGGCATTAACGGTAGAACCAGAGAGCACAGAGAAACACACTGAGGCCGTCGTGTTGGTATAACATGATATGACACCATGTCGGACCAGGTTTCTTTATCCAAATGTGTATGAGCACATGTTGTGTCATGGGATGAAAAGTAGGTGAACAGTGCCATCTTGGGTGCCACAGGAGTAGCATTATTTGTGGTTTCTTTTTATTCATTTCGGGCTTATTTTGAAAAATATAAAATAAACCAAGCTGCTGTGAATATAAAGATAATAATGTGCATATATTTACAGCCTGTATGATATGATGCAGGATAACATTTTACAATATAGCCTACATGTATCCTTAAATTCATACTTGACTTGTTGCCCTCATGCATCAACAACATCAAAACAACCAATAATAAATAAGTTAAATAAATAGAGTCATGGTTCTTCGCTAAATAATTGAAGGCATGTGGCCATGTCCACAAGGGCATCCCCTCTTCTTTTCAGGGAAATGGTCATATCTCAAAAATCCTTGAAACATATGCATTTTTTTCTGATTGAGGTATTTAAAAGAGATGTTTTCCTAATAACCTAAGTTTGAAAGTCTGTGAAAGAGAAAAGATTGTGTGACAATATATATTATGCAAATAGCTTTTGTGGAATGTATGTTGCTTAGTATTTCCTGTTTTGTTTTTCACACTGTCACAAATAGATGTAAGTTTGAATAGATGTATATCATTTAAGGAATGCTTGATAAATTAAGGCTTTAAACGATGCAGCTCCTTCTACCAATCAGGTCGATCATAAATACTCAACACAAACCTAAAACGTGCTTGTTGTCACTTTAAGTAAATTAGGGTTTTACGTGGAGTACGTGAAGGCATCAGTGCCCCGAGGACCGTCATCCAGCCATCTCCGAAAACGGACGATGAAATGCGTCGGGCTCTCCCTGGAGGAGGAGTACGGAACAACAGCTGAACTGTTTTTCGTTTGGTAGAAGTCCACTGTAGGAGTTTACAACTATTGATCATTTTTCGCTCTTAATATTTTTGGACAGTTATTTTACCTTCACAATCTGCACAGTCGGGGTAATTATAACTGTTATGTGAATATATTTCCGGTGTTGTGAGCAATGTATTTGTTGTGCTATTTAAAGGGGAAAAAAACACAAAAAAAATTCCTGTGAGATTAATTAATTAATTTTAACCATTGCATTAAAATGCCGATCAAAATCTATAATCGAAACCCATAGAGCGTCATGCCCTCGCGCATTTTGATGGCGATCTAGCACTCTGGACAGTTGCATCAGTTCCTGTGTGCGCGTGTAAATGGCTATGCCGTGGCTGCTGCTCCACGCTACTTTTTATTCCCAGGTCGCAGAATAGTCATAAATCGTCCTCTGCTAGGAAAGGCTGTGATCATAATAAAGACGTCACCCTCCTTGCTCGGGTTGGCTCGACAGTGCGCAGCTATTTGTAAGCTACAACAACAACAACCTCCAGCACCATGCCTATGGATAACGCAGGGCATTCTCTGAGATCCCCTCGCCGTGTGGACAAGAGATCTGCGTCAGATCCATAAGAAATACCGCTTTTAATTGCTCCGGATATCTCGACTCGACTGTAAAAAGAAAAAAAGAACCAAAAAAAAAAAAAAAACCCAGACAGGGACTTGATCGCGTTGCGATCTTTTCGCAACAAATAGGACGCAAGCCCGTGGATTTGAAGGTATTTAATAACTGCGACACTGGATGTAGAGGCAGACGTGCACACGCGTCCGCTGGAAAAAAAAAACGTGCTGTCATTGCGGTGCCTGGTGCGTACGTCTTTAAAGTGTTGCACATTTAAATGGATTCTCTGAGGCTCTGTCTCAACGGGGCTGCAGCTACAGGACGTAGCGCACTTCATAGCTGAGGCTGAAACGTGTGCACGTCTCGCAGTCCAGAAAAACATTTATGCGCTAGAGCAGCTTCCCGAGCGCAGTTTTATCGTTGTACGTACATTGTATTCTGTTTTAGCTCAGACAGGGAAGTTGATGTGCACTAAGGTGCTTGTGAAACACAGAAAAAACTGTACTACGCACTTTTTTTCTGCTCCGCTTCATATTGCTTTTTTTATTTGAAGAGGCACGCCCACCCCTGAGCAATGTGGACCATGCCCCGTGCTGTTGAATAATTCGACTTTACTTATTTGTTCTCACGCGATGGGTCTGTTTTGGTCATTGTTTGGTCAGTTGAAGTCTTGCCCTAAGCGATTTAAAGCACCAGTGTCAAACCCTTTTGTTTTGTTTTTTCCATAAAATTTCAGTTTTGTTTTGCAAACAGAGGGGGGCACTCTTTTAAATAGACTTCACGTTCCAGTAAGGGTGAATGGGGAAGTTTTATGTCTGTGAGAGGCAGGGGGAGAGAGTATGTTGTACTCACCTTATAATGTAGTAAAGACTTAGTAATTTAATAACATAAATTATAGAATGGGACTGTTACACCAAACTATCAATTATGAGCATACCAACATCCATTAGTTGTATTATTGAGAAGTATTGTGATAGAATAGGTAGTTTGCAATTGAGTCCCACAGACACTTTGCAAAGCCTTGTAGGAATATTATTGAAAATTCCTAAAATAAATGTCCAAGATGCAATCACTCATTTGATAGTGTACCGTGCACCTTTTAAACACCTTTGTGGGCCAAATAGTATCTCTGTCTTTTTAAAGAGAGTCATGGAGGAAACAGCTGCTGCAGCTCCGGCGCCTGACACGGATGCTGCCCCACCAGCCCCAAAACCTCAGCCTTCCTCCTTTGTACCGTCCCGCAGCCTGCTGGAGTGGAGACGGAGGGTCAAGTCTGAGTACATGCGCCTTCGCCAATTAAAACGCCTTAAAAAAGTAGAGGAGGTCAAGGTGGGTCAACACAATTATTAACATTGCTGCAAAACAGGTGTTTGTTCAATTCATGCATGTGTACTGTATGCATGGCATCAGGGGCTTATAAGTGTTTTTATATGCAGCACTCACTGTGTGTGTTTATGTGTCTTTCAGGAGTTGTGACATGCTCTTTGTTCTGTTTGATTCCAGACCCTGTTCATGTCCAACAGGCAAAAGATTGAGCAGCAGACAAATCTCCTGAATGAAGAGTGGTCCAGGCTCAGGATTCAGTCCATCCCTCTGTCAACGTCTGGTGGAGCTCTGGCCAACAAGAAGGTGTGTGTGAGTGTGTGCTAAAGAGATTAAAATAACACCCTTTGCACCACATAACTTCATATAACCTGGGTTATTATAGCAATCTGAAACCAAAATGAAAATAAGCTGTGAACTATTCCGCAGTCGCTTCACATTGGACACTAAAGTAGTGCGAAGATTACTGTAAACAATAAACATTACGGCCATTCCTTTAGATTAGGCTTATGCTATAAAAATTAATTGAAACTATTATAACTTTGCACATAGCATCCTGCATGCACTGTCCGGCTATGTGTTCCTGCCCAGGCTGCTCTGGCTTTCAAGTAATCCAATTATTATTGTGTGAATGTCTTGTGAGAAACAACTCCTCATCTCCGTCGCGTTGCATCCTCCTTAGCAGCACCAGTGTTCTGCTCTGATTCCCACCTGGTTGTCAAGTGTTCCTAAAATATCTCAGAACAAAGCTGTGTGCCAGAAATGGATCATAGTATGCAGCCTAACAGTGGTTTCTATCCCTGTGGGAGCTCATAATACAAACAACAACCTGAGGGCATGACAGCATTTTTCTCTCCCCCCATGCTGTCAGATTCCCCTTTATTGTGTTTACTGGGTTTATTTTTTTCCCTGTTGGGGTGTCGAGCAGCATGTGTATTTGATTATATATATATTTGAAAATCATCCAATAATGTTGAGGACTGCTCTATTGTCTTGTCATCCCCAACGCACCTCTGCTTCTCTTACAGATGTGCACGGTGGAGTTTGGCTTCCCAGAATTCAAAGCTCAAGCCATTGCCATGAGACCACTGTCTACAGTGGCAGGAATCCCCTTCATGTACTCTTGGTCGCCTCTGCAGCACAACTTCATGGTACGACATCAAATCACAACGCTACTTTGACATTTTTACCGGCCGTAGCGGCCTCAGAAGCGTCACGGGTGGTGGCGTGACAAGCGCCAATCAGCTGGTCGCCTACCTGTCTTGATGGGAGTTTTTGTGTCTTAGGTGGAGGATGAGACATTCCTTCACAACATCCCGTACATGGGCGACGAGGTGCTGGAACAGGACGAGGCCTTCCTGGAGGAACTCATCGACAACTACGATGGTGTCCATGGTGACAGAGGTGTGTGTTGAATGAATAATGTAGCGCCTGTCATACCTTATATCACTGCAGCGTTACCTTGGGACTTTTTGCTTGTTATGTGCTGATGATGCAGCCTGGAAGCGTGTGGAAAACATGGATTAATATTTAAGGCATTGGCACTTTAGCTTCTGACATGTTATCTGTGTCCCAGAGGGGGGGTTCATCAGCGACGAGGTCTTCAAAGAGCTGGTGGAGGCCTTGAGCCAGTACTCTGACCACGAGGAGGAGGAAGAGGAAGAAGCAGCGGTGACGGCGGCAGAGGCCGTGGCGGAGGTGACGGTAAAGAAGGAGGACGAGAGAGCGATGAGGAGGAGCTCGGCGGAGGGTTCGGAAGATGCCAAACCTGGCGCTGTGGCATTTGTCAGGAGGAAGAGGAGGAGCACCACTGAGGGTGAGCAAGTCTTCGGCTGCGTTTAGACTTTGTCCTGAGAGGGAACAAGAGGGCTGTGCAGCATGAACAAGGCTGGCACTGTTCCTTTTCATTACACTGTACAGCTGCCGCAAGGTCGCCCTGCCGCAGCAGCAGCGTTTGCACGGGCATTGTTTACTTTGAAGCTGCCCCTCTGTCCCTGCATGGGTACGCTGTGTGAGGAAAACCTGTTCGTCCATTACACTGATGTGACCCGGCTCTTATTACAGAACTCATTGAACTCTTGCACCAAGCTTCATGTGAAACTTAGTGATTGTGAAATGGAAGCACACCTGGATAAACAGTCACTGAGGCACTGGTGCACGAACACATCCATGAATGAGCGGCAATGAATAAAACATATTGGGGGGGAAAAAGAAGTGTTTGTGTAACACCACGGTTTTCTCTGAGAACTGTTTTCAGAAAAGCGGCCTTGAGAATTGGGAAATCTTTTGTACCATTGCAAAATGATTAAAAGAACACATTGCGTAAGGTTTATTTGTGAATCTGTATCAAAAGCATGACATGCGGGTAAAACTGTGTCATTTGTCTCCTTCTTTCTGTCTCCCAAAGTGAGGGACTCGTCCAGCATCAAGAAGGTCCCCAACGATAAGATATTTAACGCCATCGCCTCAATGTTTCCTTACAAAGGCACCACGGAGGAGCTGAAGGAAAAGTAAGAAAAGTGCAGTCGAAACTGTGAATCCATGCGCACAATGCCCGAAACAGGCCGTTGCCTAGTGTTCACCATGGAGACGCAAGCTGTCAGGGAGGAAAGTAATAATGGTGGCTCTCCCTCTCCGGCGCTCTGACTCAAAGGAGCAGTTGGATCAGCATCTGAAAGAGCTTTAGAAAGAAACACCTACGACTTCACACGGCACTCACACCGACTTCAATTCATAAGCAGTGCTGTGGTGAAGGAATTTTTTACACATGTGATATATTTCTACTAAAACCCTCCACAGGTACAAGGACCTCTTGGAGCCCCCCCGCCCGGTGAAGCTGCCCCCACTCTGCACCCCCAACCTGGACGGACCCTTTGCTAAGTCTGTACAGCGGGAGCAGTCGTTACACTCCTTCCACACGCTCTTCTGCAGACGTTGCTTCAAATACGACTGTTTCCTCCACCGTAAAGGCTTGATTTATGTTGATTATTATTTCTCCTGCGGTGTGATGTGTCCCAGTGAGATTGTGATTAATACTCATTGATGCACCATAACTGATGCACAAACAGAGAGTCAAAATACGTTTTCTTTCTTTCCATAAAGCTTTCCATGCTACACCCAATGTTTACAAGAGGAAGAATAAGGAGATCCGCATAGAGACTGAACCATGTGGTGTAGACTGCTTCCAGTTAGAGGTATGCCAGCCTCACAATCATTGTAACCTAATCGTGCATTCTGTTCGCTTTCGAGTATGCTATATATCGTGCTGTTTACTCTTTTCCGCTGTCCTCCTCTGAAGAAAGGGGCTAAAGAGTTCGTGGATCAGAATATGCTACGGTCGCAAAGGTCTCGGAGGCGCCGAAAGCAACAGCGTCCCACCAGCTCCAGCTGTCCTGGACCGTCTGCGTCTGTTGAGGAAGGACAAGAGGGCTGCAGTGACCATGAAACCACCACCTCCTCCTCAGGTAAGGCTCTGATCCGACAGCAACTGGGTTTGGATCTGCTTTTGAAACCACCAGGTGCTTTCTCTATTCCAGGCATGAGGTTCAGTTGATCTATAAGTTTTTTTTATTGTTTTATTTCTACTTTGCTTATTACTATATAATGCCTATTGTTTTGAGATTAACATTTTCTCAGGTACTCCAAAGTAAATCTCTTGAGGCCTCACACAGTAAACACAGTTATTTGTGTTTGTGAGTCACCGTATGACTGAGTTGGAGGCGTCATTTACCATAACCTTCCCCAAATCCCTCCCTTTCTGGAAGATTGTCTGCTCTGACTGCCCGTCAGAAAAGTGAAATTTGGCCGAAGATGATAGCTTGCAAGTCACATCCTGCTCTGTCCTCTGTCTCCCTCCCTCCCTCCCTCAATCTACTCTCAATATCAGCTCTCCCTTGCCAAGCAAAATAAACCAGCCATTAGCTTTGCATGCTATGACCCCAAGATAAACACATTGTTCCCTCTCCCCCTCCTCCTTCTGTGGTGGTGTTTTGTTTTACCATTTCTGTTGATATCTTCATGCGGACAATGGTGGGAGGGAAATAAGAGCAATCTCCTCTGTCTCTCTCTTGTCCCCTCCTCCTCTAGACCTCTTAGGTTGTTGTTCGTCGCCAACAGGGCCTCACTGGAAATCTCTGCTAGCTCTGGAAACCGCTCGTGCTCAGCCAGTGACTCAGCAGACTCCCTCGCACGTGTTGAGATAATGTGGGGGGGGGGGGGAAACAGATTGTTGAGCAAATTAATAAAAATACTCAGTGCTGGAGCATGTGGCCACGGCAATGCTGCATTCAGCCTGTTGCCAAGCAACATTCGGCTCTCTGCCTCGAGCTGTGAGTGTACAAGCGTTTTGAATATCCAAAAAGCTAAATCAAAGGAATGGTCCCCTGTGTGTGTGTGTGTGTGTGTGTGTGTGTGTGTGTGTGTGTGTGT